TGCTCAGCTGTCCCCAGACAGAGTTCCATACTCTCCAGCCTATCCCTAACATGAAGGGCAACTCCCCCTCCCCACCTGCCAGGCCTGACTTTTCTAAAAAGCCAGTAACCTTCCATACCAACAGTCCAGTCATAGGAGCCATCCCACCATGTTTCTGCAATGCCTATTATATCATACCCCCGTAGACATGCACACATCTCTAATTCCTCGTTTGTTCCCCATGCTACGGGCGTTCATACAGAGGCATCTGAGCCGAGCTCCAACTGAAGCTGGCTTATTGGCTGGAGTGGCTGGGATATATCTACATTGCTCCGAGCATTTATTATAGGTGCTGGCAACTGACTGGGTGTGTTGGGATGGAATGATGCCCCCCTCCCCCAACACAGCTAGTTTAAAGCCTCCTTGACCAGTCTGGCAAGACTCCTACCAAAACTGCTCCTTCCCTTCCTTATCAGAGCAGCTCCACCAGCCCCCACTAGACCTGGCCTACAAACTTGGGTCCTGTGTTCAAGACACCCAAACCCCTACGACACCACCCTTTTAATCCTTTATTAACCTGGCCAATCCTCCTAGCTTATTTTTAGGTCCTCCCCTGTACCCCGGAGAATTGATGAAAAGACCACCTGAGTTCCAGAGCCCCTAACCACCTCCCCCAGCGCTCTGTAGTCCTTCTTTATGTTCCCCAGGCTACTACTATCTATATCCCTAGCACCCACATGTATCACTAGAAGCGGGTAACAGCCCGTGGGACTTACTAGAGCAGGCAGCCTCTCTGCCACATCCCTGATCCGTGCCCCCGGTAGGCAACACACCACCCTTGAGACGGGGTCAAAGCTGACAGTGCTTCTGTCCCTTTCAGTGTAGAGTCCCCTACTACTACGACCCCCCGCTTTTTCCTGGCAGCACCAGTAGAGATCTTCTTTACCAGTGCATCAGCCGGCTGTTTCTGGTGTCAGTGTGTTTCCTCATTAGCCTCCTGCATGACAGCAAAGCGGTTCTGCGTGGGGACAACAGATTTAAGAGGAAGCCACTTGCTTCTAATTGTCCTTTTCCTCTTTTCCTCCTTTTTTTGTTTTTTTTTTTTTTTGGTCACTAATTCCCAGCTTCCCAGGTTAACGGCCTCCTTCTTTCCTTCATGAGGTAGAGGTGAAGCTCGAGGCCCCTGCACAGTTTGGGCCGGCAGCAAGCATTCCTGCTTCCTCTCAGCTTCCCTGACATCTCACAGCCTATTAACAGCATCCCGCAGCTCAGCCCCTGCTGCAGGAGGACCTCCACCAGGGAGCACCGAGTGCAGCCCTGCCCATTGCGCACCCTCCCCTCACCAGACCAGGGCAGGCACTCTCTACACCCCGAGCTCTGCACTGCAGCCTCCCCTCTCATCGGCTCTGTCTGGGTGCCTACGCTGCCACCGCCGGGGCAGCCAGAGCAGAGCTCCCAGACCGGGCCCTGATCATATGACGAGTGCTCACCACTGTGCTCACCACTGCGCTCACCACTGCGCTCACCATCCCGCTCGCCTGCCAGCTCAAACTGCCTCGCCGCGCTCTTGGTCCCTCGTGCTCCCTGGGGCAGGTTTTTACCCAGTCAGGGCTGGCTCCGCCCCCTGTGAGTCAGCTGCTCGCTCTCGTCAGCTGAGCTGCCGGCTCCCGGGCAGGTCCTGTCGAGGACTTGAGGCTCCCTCGGTGGCTCTCGTCGCTCTGAGTTGAGCTCAGCTCCTGGACGCTGATCTCCCCCCAGCTCCGGTGTTGAAGGCGTCCTCTCTCGAGCTGCTCACCTCAGCAAAATCAAGCCTGTCCTTTGCCCTATTCTCATTTATAGCAAAATTTCAACCCATTTAAAATATACAGTCTTGAGCATACTGTGTAATAAAAATTGTAGGATTTGTATCCAAAGGAAAAAAAAATGGCTGCTAATCCTGGGATACATATACATCAAAGCTTTCCTATACACTGCTATTTCACTAAAAGCTGATGAAAATCTAATGAGAATTCTGTGCTATTAGGTCAATTAAACAGCAGAACTACCTCTGCAGGAGGCTCAAAAATACGTAATTGCGTTCTCCAGCTCACCACAGACCAAGCTCTGAATAAAAATCAGAACTCTCCCAAAACTGTTTTTATACAGACACCAAAGGGATGGTCAAGTTTTCACTCTCAGTTCCAGTAAAAAGGTACAGATTTTAGAGTCACAGAGTCAGTAAGGGCCTAATCCTAACAAAGGTATGAGGCAAATGATGAAAAACTCCAGAAATGTGAGAGAAAGCATGTGCCAAAATAGCACCAGATTCATCAACCTAAACCAGAACTGAAATATCAAAGAATGACACTGCATGATTCAGCTGTCTATGTAAAAGTTGATAGTGCTTCCATGTGGACCCAGAAACTGAAATGAGCTGATGGCAATGGGGAATATAAAAGTAAGTAACTGCAATAACCTCAGTAAGTGAGCACTTCACACACAAGTACAAAAATATGGTTTAAAAGCTTAATTCAAAGAATACAATCACAGAATTAAAGTAGTTTAGGCAACTGAATCATTTTTGTGCTGGTGCACAAGACAAAAAAATTAAGAACTGGTAATGTTACTGTACAAGACACTGGTGCTAGTAAGTAGTGTTAAGAAAAGCACACCAATGTCTTTTCATGTTTTGAAAAAACAGGAATTTAAGGAAAATAAATGAGGTATCATCTAAAATTATGACAAGAACAAAGCAAATATTAGGAGATGTCTGAGGCAAGAAACAGTTTATAGAGACAGAATATTATCAAATTCTGGTGGCATTATCAGGCTCTACAGCTAGTACAAAACTGAAACATCAACTCCTATGAAATAAAAAAGCTAAGAATTAGCTAACAATAAAACAATTACGCTTGGTGAGCTATTCTATACCTCCTCTTAAAAACAGAATTTTACATGATAAGGCTGTTAACAAGGTTTCAGAGCATTACGTACAAGTAATCCTTGTGCAAAATAGGCATACAAATTTTGAATTGCTAATAAATCCTAGACGTTGGAAAGAAAGTGATGAGTTAAATTTCATCCAGATGTAAAGACAGCAGTTGCTAACTTAATGCAGAACTATGTTACACTGAATTATCATGGCTGAATAAATCACACAGAAGTGTTAGATAAGCACTTCTATGACTTCAAATTCACAGGAATATACACAAGTGCTAGAAAAATGAAACAGCAAAATGTTCAATAGTGTTACTTGAAAAAAACCCACAATTTAAAAGAGGTAAAAGTGTTACAGAATGCTTATTAAGCTTCTAATACTGGTAAAATAAGAGCTTTAAGTTATAACTATACTGGTCAGTGATACCTTAAATCTGGTCAGTGATACCTTAAATCAACAACTTGGTGACCTTGCTACTGGTTTCACTTACTGTCACAGACAAAAGCTCCAAGGAGGCAAAAGTACTGACACATTGTGAACAAGGAGAGACAAGTGAAACAGAAGCACAAAATAACTTACCTGAAGTCATATATTGAAGCAAAATCAGAAAAGAAGGCATGCATGCTGACTAATACAGCTGATTAGTATCCAGAACTTAAAGCCATCTCTATTATTATTTTCATTACTTAGTTTTGTATGCTAACACTCCTAAACTAGCAGCCTTACAGACACTCAGATAGGATATGAGTTCACACTCTGAAAACTGAGACAAGATGGCACAAATTGAGGAACAACTGAAGATTTTTTTTTTTTGATTACTTAATGTAAGGTACACCTCAGAAACAGCTATTTAAGAAAAGAGCAATGTGTACAAAACTGGATATGGCAAAAACTAATTGGTCACAAATGGTGCTTTTTCTTTGCAGTATTTCTCCTTTCTGCCACTTGATAGGAAAGTATCATAAATACTAAGGCACTAATGAAAAACTCTAAATTTTTATAAACAGTGTTTTATACAGATTGTTTATTACATTATCAATTCCACTTCTGCATAACAAAGTTGACAGATGGAATCATGTCGTTTTATGACATCAATAAACTGCTACATTCCTGTTAAAAGTAGATCAGTAATCAAATTCAGAACATAATTTTTTCCTACTTCAATTCAGATATGCCACAAAGGGAGGTTTAAATACATTGTCTCTTTAAGACATACAACAGTCTCCTTTAACTAGTGATAGCCAAAGCTGAAAATAGCATGACAGGACACTAGTTACAAAAAAAGCTTCCTGACTATTAAGTTCACTGCAACACCCCAACAACTTGCCTGAAAAGCTGTAAATAACAAATAGTGGCAGAAACTAGCCAAGATCCTCTTCACCTTCCTGGTAGACAGTGAGTTTCTTCTTCTGAACTCTAATTTACTAATCTGTGATCAGGAAGGAGCAAGCAAGAGAATTCCTTCAAAGTCAGCAGTAGTGAGGTACAACTAATTTTGGCAGTAGCCAACTATTAGTAACTTCTTATTAAAGCTGGTTAAGAATATAAGTCGAAGGAATAAAGAGATACAGTAAAAAGCATTCCTTAAAAATCAGTGGAAAAATTCCAGGTGTGATGGAAAATGGTACAAAGCATGTGAAAATATTTGCCATCTCCTTTTCTAACTAAAATGCTCAAGAAAGAGGAAGGTAACAAACCTCAAAGGTTTGTGTAAATGAAGCCTGAAAAGAAGAAAATCCAAAACCCAAACAACTCGCTTTTCACTTTCTGAGGGAGCATATTTCTACAAAAGGATACAATACCATTTATCTCTGGGCAGTGGAAATTGTGTGGTATCAAACCTTTTATAACACATGCACTACAGCTGAGAACCCGACAGAAATTTGGAAAACATGGCCACTCATTTATTTTCTCAAATCAAAGATGGTGGCACTTTCTAAACATCTGAAATTGCAAAACAGACTCTGCTTGCAGCTGGAGACTTAAAGACTCCAACAGACTGTAATACAGTGCCATGAAACTGCAATTATTTGCAACTGTAGACTCAGTGTAGCAAATTACTATCAATATCATATTTCCCCTCAAAAGGAAAGAATCAACTCACCACTTGTCCATTCTGAGGATTTTTATGTGCATATGGGGGTCCACGGATATGATTCCACATCTGACCAGATGTCATAGCAAATACAACACACTAGAAAAAACAGAAAAAACATGATCATGTATTTACTCAGAAAAAATGAATAGAACACCATTCTGTCAGTGATCACAGAATCCCAGGAGTTGGAAGGGACCTCAAAAGATCATCTACCCTGCAAGAGCAGGGTAACCTAGAATACATCACACAGGAAGTTGTCCAGGAGGGCCTTGAATATCTCCAATGTAGGAGACTCCACAACCCCCCTGGGCAACCTGTTCCAGTGATCTGTCACTCTCACAGTAAAGAAATTTCTCCTGATGTTCACATGGAACCTCCTATGCTCCAGTTTACACCCATTGCCCCTTGTCCTATCACTGGACATCACTGAAAAAAACCTACCTCCATCATCCTGACACTCACCCTTTACATATTTGTAAACATTGATGAGGTCACCCCTCAGTCTCCTCCAAGCTAAAGAGTCCCAGCTCCCTCAGCCTCTCCTCATAAGAGAGATGTTCCATTCCCTTAATCATCTTTGTAGCTCTGCGCTGGACACTTTCAAGCAATTCCCTGTCCTCCTTGAACTGTGGGGCCCAGAACTGGACACAATATTCCAGATGTGGCCTCACCAAGGCAGAATAGAGGGGGAGAAGAACCTCTCTTGACCTACTAACCACACCCTTTCTAATGCACCCTAGGATGCCATTGGCCTTCCTGGCCACAAGGGCACATTGCTGGCTCATGGTCATCCTCCTATCCACCAGGACCCCCAGGTCCCTTTCCCCTTCACTACTGTCCAGCAGGTCAGCCCCCAGCCTGTACTGGTACATGGGGTTGTTCTTCCCCAGATGCAAGACTCGACACTTGCCTTTGTTGAATTTCATCAAGTTTCTCCACGCCCAACTCTCCAGCTGAATGGCAACACAGCCCTCTGGTGTGTCAGCCACTCCTCCCAGTTTAGTATCATCAGCAAACTTGCTGAGGGTACATTCAGTTCCCTCATCCAGGTCGTTGATGAAAATACTAAACAGCACTGGTCCCAGCACCGACCCCTGAGGGACTCCACTAGTCACAGACCTCCAGCTAGATTCTGCCCCATTAACCACAACTCTCTGCCTTCTTCCTTTCAACCAGGTCTTGAACCACCTCACTACCTTCTTTTATATACATAATTATTTATGTAACCAGATACAGTATCAAACGCTATTTGATTTTTAGGATAGGGTTTTACAGATGTGCTGCTCTCATAAAATTCTTAATGTCTTCTGTTAGAAAATGAGTTAGCTCAAGACAGAGGTTTTCAAAATCTCACTTGAAAGAATCCTGCCATTACATGCACTTGGAAATGCCACATTACCACATCTATATGGCAAAAAACATTCACAGCAGTAAAAGACATTCATTGCAAATATTCTGCAAACTAGTGTTCAAGATTTATACAACCTTTCATAAAATGAATTCTCCCTCTGATCCAACAGAAATGTTTAGCTCGCCTGTTTGCTTTCAGGTGTACGAAATGATATATAAAAGCATAAGAAAAAAGAAATCCAGTTGTAGAAAAAAGTGTCTGCCCCATTTTATGAAATTCTCATTGTGTGTCCTATACGACTATGATTCATTTTAGCTATGAAAAATAATACTGGTTGATTTGGTAAAAAAGTGAAATTCCCTGTGGAAAGAAGTGTGAAGTTAGGTTAGGGATGCATGACAACTGTAAAAACAGACAATTCTTGTAGAATTATATATATAATATTGTCATAACTGCAGAATCTACATGTCATCACAGTCATAGCAAGTGTCATTATAAATACGTTAAGGAAGAAAATACAGTATATTTTGAGTACCAAATGAGAAAAACAAAAATGGGAAACTTGGAGCATATAAATATGGTTTTTGGCTTACCAGTACAGATAATCCTTACAAAAAGTACAGTTTTTACATATATGCTAATTTTTACTGTAAAATACTCCCACCAGCATAATATAGTCATAGTGATTTGAGCAGATGGATCGCAAATGTAAAGATTAATACCTTGATGGTTAACTAAAGCAGGGTTTATTAAAAACTCTTTAAAGGGTTTTCTTTAAAAAATGTTTAGAAACATATTAATGAAATAAACGTAAACTATTGCAGGTTTTATCCCCATAAATGCAGCATTGCCACCTCTAGCAATATCATTTGAACAAACTTTGCAAGGCGTTAGGACTGAATCTTAACAACACAGCACAGCACCCACTCACCCCAAAGTGAAGCCAATGAATGCTCTCAGAAATCTAAAGATAAACACTGGAGGAGTAACCATGACATGAGACAAAGGGAAAGATACTAGGAAATGTGTACATAACAATTTTAACTGTGGTGTTATAATTGAGACTTTTTGCCCTTGTAATAGAAAGAAAAAGAAAATAATGAAAAAAATACATCTTCATGTCGAGTTAAATAATAACTCTTTGTTGTACTGTTAAGTTTTCAATTACACTAGGAACAGATTCTTGACTTGAAATACTGAAGGTGTGTTTCATTTTGCCCTTAGGAGGATTTCTAATATATCAGTATAGTAATTAACATGGGAGATGAAAGCATCATGGTAGTGATTACTAGAAAATGGATTATGTTTTAATTAATAATATGCAAAGAAATGAAGAGAGTGCATGCTTCAGTTACTGGGAAAAGGGTAACAGCTATTTCTATGCCTTGCAGACTGTTTTAGAAATTTATACTGCAATTTTGGTCACACAGGAGATAGCTTATGTGAAAGTACAAAAGTAGAGAAACTGAAAATGTGGGTAAAAACTGAGGTGGAAGAGATGTTTTAAAAGGCTAAAAATTAGCTGAAATGTAAAGCACTGAAAGAGGACAGAGAACACAAACTGTGGCGCTCTGAAAGTGAGTTTTCTATGAAAAATTACTCTACCCATTACTGTACTTAATTTACATTCTCTAGGGCCAAATCTTCTTCCATATGGAAAGATTTAAAAAACACTCCACCCCAGTTTATACATAGTCATATACTTTATAACAGATAAATATCTGTTAACGTAAGAAAAATTACATTCTAGACTCATTAATCAGTAGTTAATTTTAAGCATAGTTAAAAAAAAACAGGCAGACACAGGCATCCAGTTCTGCACTTATTCTATACTATTCTGTATATGTAAGTTTTAACCCTTTCACAACTATTGTTTTAAAGAAATGTAATCCTTTCTTTCCAGTTTAACTTTGCTTCTGTACTCAAAGAAGGCTACAGAATTACAGGATCTGTACTCAATTTCTAAATAACAATCCCTCACTTCTTAGAATGTCCAATATAAGATATATAAGTCAAGGACAGGAAGTACAACCTAGAAGAAAAGAGAATGGGTTTCTGTATCTTTAAAAAGATACAGATCTCTAACTATGGGAAGAAAAGGAAATTAATAACTTGCATTTATTGCTGTTCTTTTGAGATGCCTATCTACTCATATGGAGAAGCCTAACTTTTTCTAGCCGTATCTTTGTAGAAAACACATTACTTTTTTAGCCTCATTCCTACAAGGGGGTAAAGAAGCCACTCCCAACCATGATACCCTTTTGGAGCAAGCTCTTTTGGAGCAGTAACTGATGACAAATGTACTGTATTGTGTACTACTGTGGAGTATATCAGCACAGAACACATTTCTCATAGCCATTAATTGTTATGACAATCATAAGCACATGCTTTGTCTCCTAATTCAAGCAACTTAATATATTTTGCCCAGCAGAGTCAACTCCTAGGCAGCTGCCTCTTCTAACCTGAGCAGACTTTGCTTTCCCAGATTCCACTGGTATACAGGCAAATCTGAAATACACACATAAAACCAAAAATTACACGCAGAAAACCACAGTGGCAGCCTAGTGAAGAAAATGCTTTGAAAGAAGCCCTCATAGCCCCTATTCACCCTTGTAGCCCACATTCTAGACAGCTGAACAAGCTCTCAGCACAGTACTGAGTTGTATAAAATACAGCAATTCCTTCTAAAATGTTAGAAATACATCCAGTTTATGTCATCTGACCTTTTATCCTCTCTGCTTAAGACATGAAGAGTCTTGACAAGAATCTAAACTGCTTCTTTTTATAAGTGGGCAGGACTCTGCAAATATCTAAGAACTGAAGTCCTTCCTCATCTTTGTGCGACCATGGGACAGAGAAAATTGTCCATAGACGAAGAGTATGATTTGAATTAAAGTCTAAAATAATTTAGGGGACAAATTTTGGATGTGATCTCAAAAAGACATCTTATGGGGTATTATGTACTGTGACTCAGTCATCTGGTTTGCCATTCTAAGAGTCTTCTGGGTAATGTTGCAAGTAAAAATGCCTAAGGCACACAAGATACTACCAGAGTCTGCAGTGCTTCTACAAGGGGATGAAATCACTAATAGCATTGCTGTTGTGCAATCTAATGTTGAGGACAAAACCAGTTCAACAGTTTTGTGATTGGTGTCAACCAGAGATGAAAGCTCTGGTCTGGCTTCTGAAAGTTTACCAAAACCACTACATGCATCACTAAAAATTGCGTTCCTAAATATTCTCATAAAACAGCATTGGAAATATCTCTTACGAGACACTACTTTTTTGTATCAATGGAGATATCAAATTCAGCCAACATTTTGGGGATTCTCTCTTCTCCTGCTAGTCAAAAAAGAAAAAAAAAAACAACAAAAAAACCCACACAAAAACACAGAGGCACTTTATGCTGAGATTTTTTTTCTAATTTTAGGTGCAGATCATTCAATTGGGGAGATAGGTACTGTGAATTTTTCATTCAAATAAGAAGTATCCAACATTTGGGAGCATATAAATGCTCTTCAAAACAAAGATTTGAAAGACAAGGAAAAGTAAACAGGAGACTTGTCTGTTTGCTACAATACAGTTTTCAGAATTCCAGGATATATATGAAAGAGATTCAGTTGAAATTTAAAATGTTATTTTTCAAATGATTAATGAATGCTGGCTACCTAACAGTACATCTCCCGAAAACCAATCAAAACTCAAACCTACAGCTTTTAGAAAAAAAAATCTCCTGTGCTTTCTCAGTTCCACAATAAAAGGAACTGCCAATAAGAAACTTATTGCCAAAGCTCTTATCAAAAACATGGGCTTCCTGTAGCTGTCCAGGCTTTCAAGGGTTTATTTATTTTTTAAAGTCGAGAAAGGAAAAAATATTAATGAGGAATATAATTTTTTATTAGTTATACCCTTCCTAAATGAATTTTATTAGACATGACTCTACCCCCTCTACTAGATACCATCTTGCCTATTTTTCCTTTTAATGAGCTTTTACGAAAAAACTCAAAGTTTTATTGGTAGAAAAAGCATCATGGAGGAGATTCGTAACTACACGAGACCTTCAAATGAATATATCTATGGATCTTATCCTATTCTAGTCATTTTACAGAAATAAGCTTATCTGTGCAAAAGCCTGCAATCTGGTGTCCCTGCTGATTTCACCAAAAAGAACTTACAATATTAGCTTGTATGTCCACTTGTAGATCTGAATAAAACCAAAAGGACTTCTGGTAACTGCATGATCTTTGCTAAAACACCATTTTGTAGTATGGGCCTTTGACAACATTGTGAAGGTGAAAGAAGAGTAATGATTAAACTGGGAAGCATCAGTTCAAGGCCATGATTAATTGCTAGATACTTTCAGATGCAGGACCTTTTCCTAAAACATCCTCTAAGTGCGATTCATTTTTAAAGTAAAGAGAATTTTACAGGAAACAGTATTAGCAACAACAATAAACAGCATTAATGCCATTTTAATTCCTTTTGATGCTATTACTGCTTGTCAATATAATCAGCAGGATGAAAACTACTGAATGGCATCAACATAATTTCTTTAAATGCTTGATCCCATTAGGACATTGACCCTGTCCACACAGGTTCAGCTGAATGTGATTATAAGTTTTCAGCATTGTAATTTCCAGTTACATGTAAAATGTCCAACTACTGCTAAGGAGAACTGCAAATAAGAAAGAATTGATGTGTTCATTTTCTTAACTCAATTAGGAAGTTAATTATGTCTTCAACTATTTATTGAATACAGATTGTAATAGAATCATTCTTGATTTGACTGATTTTTAACCTCTGAAAGACAAAAACTCTATTCCCCAAAACATTCAAACATTAAACTTCTGATCTGAATCCCTGAGGTATGAAATCGGAATGAAACGGCTGTCTGCAGAGATATATTGCATGGTTAAACAAAGGAAATGCCCTGATTATATCTTTATTTGATGTTTGACAAAAACATCCATTTTGCTGTGCTAATTATTGCTTTACTCAAGTGATCTCTAAAGATTAGGACTCAAAAAAAAAATTAGATTGGTACATATCAAATTTGCGCTTACTGGTGGTAGAATTATCTTTAAATATCGTTGAAAACGATATCATTACTGATTTTACAAAAAAGAGCAGGTTGAACAACAGCAGTGAAGATTAGTAACACTTTTTATTAGAAATATTAGTGAGTGATAAAGCTAATGAGAATTAGCGTCAAAATCTACATTATGAATCTTTGTCTGATAGTACCATACTGAACACTGTATTAATGCAATGTTTTTTAATTTACTTATTGTGCAAGTAATGAAGACACATATGCTAAGACAAGGAGCTAATATTAAATATGCTGGTAAGGAAAATCTGCATACCAGAGCTGCCATGGCCCAGCCAGTTTTGTTGTAGATGAACTCCAAGTTATTTCTGCGCAGATACAACAATCCACCAACAAGAGATACCAGAAGAGCCAGTGCAATTGTACCAGAATAGTTAGGAGGCCTGAACACTCTAATCTGGAAAAGATAAATGAAAATACAGATTGCAATAAATGCATACATACAGATCATCTTATATATAAACAAACAAGGAGTACCTGAAATCTGGTTTCAGCATCAGAAAGACTAAACCCTAAGCTTATATTTAAGTAAGAAAAAAACAGTACTTCCTTTAATACACAAATTGGAAAAAAGTTTTAAGCATCATATTGAACTGCTAAACTCCAAAACATTATTTCTTCAACACATTTGCAGGGTGTCTGGATTAGGAGCACCTACCTTTGGATCTATCTGTTTTGTTTGCATTATATAAGATTTAGTTATTATATAAGATTTAGTTATTAACAACTAAATATCACAGTATCACTACCTGTTTTCATCCAAAGTAAACTACATACAATTCAACAAAGCAAGAATGGAATATAATCTGCAAAACTGCATAAATTGCCACAGATTACAAAGATACATTTGATTTCAACTTTCAAAATTGTTGAAAGACTTACATGAACATCTGTTCTGTCAGCTATCCATTTAGCTAGCTGCTCAGCTGCAAAGCCGATTCTCTGCAGGTCAAACGTGTCAGCTCTCTTGGGTTTACCTTTTGGAGGAAAATGCATGAAAGTCGGAGCAGAGTTCATATTCAGCTACAAAAACAGGAAAAATAACAGGAAAAAAATATTGTAACTCTACCCCAAAAAAATTTTACCTTTTACATACATGACAGCACAAGTCTAATCAGCATGAAAAATAAATATTTTCCTCTATATATTACTCTCTTTTTATATATCTTCAAGTACAGTTCTGCAAAAAAAAGAACATTCCTTCCAGTAGACTGGGATGTTTAATTATTCAGAGTATTTCACCCCCAAACTTTTCTGAGTATCTTAATCTTTAAAGTTTTTATACTCTGGAAGAACTTTCCTGCAACTAGTAAAACAGAGACCCCACATTCATCCAATCTGTTCAGGTATATTTGGCTATAAGGAAGATAGTGTGACATTGTTTCTCTTGCCTAATACAATGTTAACAACATTAACTAGCCTTCCACTCGCTTCAAGATGGACTACCCAACAATGACTAGTCTTTTTTGAATTCAGAAAGGCCCAGGTAACTAGCTTAGACTACATAACTTGCCCTAGAAATTACATGACTATTCACAGTATATCAAAAAAAAAAAACAAACAACCAAAGGTGATAAACAAATACATTTATATTTTCCACTTTAAATTTTACTTCAACTTTGGTATAGGAGAATATAATTTTAGTATATCAAATTCCTCCATATTCTGTCCATCTTAGAAACAGTGCAGCAAAACACTTGAAAAACTTAACATAGAATCATACACAAAATAAGCGCAATAATTAAAAATGATGCAATATGGAGAGCTTTAAATAACAAAGGCAGACTAAACTTGTTTGCTTCATTACTGCAAAATGAATTTTATCACATTACCAAAACTCAACATTTAACCATGTACAGAACTGAATAGAAATCACCAGCTACTAAAACATTTTATATCTAAGAGAAAAATAGCCCGCTTCTTTAGTGAACTGATTTGGAAATAAGAAAGAAAGACTATGATAAATGTTGATAAATAGTTGAATAAAATATTTTATAAAATTCGTATATGTTCTGACATTGTATAGCGTTTGGGGGACGCTGCTCTGCAACTGCTTTGTTGTTTCTCTACAAACAGAACAAAAGCTGAAAAATCAGTATCATGACTTTTGAGGGTTTTAATGCTATGGCATTCATATTACATGACTTGTTTGTACACAAAAACATAAAGCAAGCCTAAACCACACTTCCACCAAATCCACCTTTAAATAGCCATTAGTATCACTTATCCTTAACACCATATTTCTCAAATACAGTCAAAAACTTACCTATTTTATCTAATTGTCTTGGTTTTACGCTACTTTAAATGCATACCACCTGAAATAAACTGAATCTGTACTCTTGTACACAAGGACTAAGTTGGACTGGACTATTCTAATATGTATTGATTGGCTTAAGGGAAGACCAAACAACATTTTGCATTACTGTAACCATGTAGGATAATGTAAAATGATTTTAAAGCTTATTTGAACTAAAATTTTTAAGGCAAAACCATAAGCCGTTAATAAACATTTTTTGCACAACACGTTCTCGGATCTGAAGTGGAAGAAAAAATACTTACTAAACAGTAATTAGACTTTTTAAATTTAGTATTTAAAAAATAAATATAATTTTTTTCTCCTGGAAGATTCCTTCTCCAGGAGGTGATTAAAAATACAGAGAGCTTCAAAACTTGTCACTCCTCTTGATCTGCATGTTTAGCTTCAATCAATGGATAAATATCAGGGAAATGCATGTCAGTATTTATTATTTACTTTCAAGTGATGCGTTTCACCTTGACAGCTCGATTTAAGAGTGGACCTTAGACTGTTCTCCAACAGTTGATTTTTCACTCTTCAAAGCAGAAAATCTAAACTAGCCTCTTTTCTTTTCCTTGAACAACTGCCAGAATCATACAAATATTACTGGAGTTGAAGAATATTGTATTATACAAAATCAATTAAAAAGCTCTTTTACTTAAAAAGCGTTTTTCCCCAATGATAAAATAATGATAAATAATAAATTATAATGATAAAATAATGATAATGATGATAAAATAAAGGAAATCTTTAAACGTTAATTACACTGCACTTAATTCAAATAAATGACATTAATTATGGGTTGAAAAATCGTTTGCATACATATAATGTAATGTATAAATAAACATTATAAACAGCATTTGGAAAATACTAGAAGTTGCTACCGGTACAATCTGTCATTGATAATGTCACAGAAACCCTAATGCCTGGTGTTTTTAATCAGGAAGAACTTATATACAAAACACAGAGGTACATACCTACACACAGAAAATAATTTATTTTGTATCAGTTGGCAAATCAACATGTAGTTCTAAAAATTAAGAATGTTTTACAATATCCAACATTTACCTGCTGAAAAACATCTGCACCTTCATCATAATCCACTATTGTGAAAAACAGTTTGTTTGAGAAAGCAGATGAATAGCGCCATGAATTAGCCAGCACTTGATATTCTTCATTAGCTTGCCTGTTAAGGAAAAGAAACAAATGTACATCCATGTGGCATTTGCTGGCAAGAAAGATTCTATAACCAGCTGCAGCAGTCAGATGAATTACACTTGCAACAGTATCATTCTCAACAGCCTATTATTAAAAAAAGTTACAGCTAGTTATGCAACTTTTTGCTTCAAACTCATCTTCTCCAAAATTAAGTGTTAAGTCAAAGGTATGGCATAGAAATCCCAAGATGATGTTAACAAAAAATAATGTTTTCTCTATTTAAAAGTCTCAGAGAAGAGGAGTGTCCTGAGCAGCAAGCATGACACAATCTGCTAACACACACTTATGTGACCCTCAAGTACGATATCAAGAAGAATTCCGGGATCCTTTTCCAGCAAAGACATTCTCTAAACACACAACCACAGAACCATAAAACCACAGGTTCTACCTCAGGAAAAATCCATAGCAATGAATAATTCAGAAGAAGGAAGAAATAAAGAAAAAAATATTAAAAAAACAATCGGAAAGGATCCTTGCAGTACTTCTGGCTTTCCACAGACTCCTTTGCTAATTATTTTAGCAAAGGAACTAAATTATTTTATATTACAAGTTAAATATAAAATTCTTGTTGGAAGTGGATGATCTTAAGGTCCTTTCCAATCCTAACTATTCTGTGATTCTATGTCAAGAATGTCCCCATTTCCTAATTATCATCCTTAGGCATGAAATATATTACAACTCCAGTGGAACTGTGTTGTATCAAGGAATACGCTGTATATGAAAAAATCTATCATTTAAGAAAAACAGTTAAAATGAAATTTTATGCATTCTTGCGGCCCCCCCCCAAAAAAAACCAACCAACCTAAATATTACAAAATCACACAAAACTCAACTTTCACCATTATTGCCAGATTGATTAAAATCTGCTACTTAACACAATTCCTCAATGGGCAAAGTCTGCAATTGTATAAAAAGAAAAAAAGTGATTTAGGCATTAGTTATTTCTAGAAACAGATACTAACATTAAGGAGACTAACATATTCACTGTCATCCTGAAGAGGGCAGTCAGACAACATCAAAGGAATGCTGTAAAATCTTAAGTAATATCTGTAGGGCACTGTTTTGTTAAACCCACTATATTAAAGCTGAACCATTTTTATTATAAGAACAAGATAAAAATCACTTGATTTTGATGCCATCATTCTTCTTAGTCCACTTTTCACTTGGGATGAAACAGTATTTCTGGGAAATTTAGATACTCCAGTTATGTCCCCACTATTTGAGAGAAGACTTGTTTCCATTGATCTCCATGTATTTTGCATCTTTGAACTATTCTGAATTAATATAATGGGTAGAAAGTATCACTTTGCAAAAGCTTGTCTTAGATTTTCAATAAATGGATTCAAAGCATAATTTCATCCTCACACTGAAAATAGCAAAGCATTCTGTAACACATCCTCTCTGCAGCTTTTGAGGACTGTGTAGAAGCAATAGTGAAACACGGAGAGGCAGAAATACAAAGCTATAGGATTACCACATGCAGAACTGAAGAACATCCTATAGTCCACTGTGTAATTTCCAATGGATACAATGTTGATACAATCACACTAATAACTGTAGCATTTGTTACCCTTTTTCAGATACAAAAAAAGCGTAAGTACTCAGCAGGGAAAAAAGTCAACCTCTAATTAACATCAGGCAACATCGACTCTGTCACTTCTTATCTACCTATAGCTATCATTAGTTAATATCAATTCTGTTTGTTTTTATGAAGTAATGCTAAGTATATGAAATTATCATTATATGAAATACTATAACAGCATAACGCAGAACTATACTTGGTATGAACTCATCAGAAGAGTAACGTACAGTAACATTACAGTATTACAGTAATTGTAACGCTGTTTGCTAGTTTGACAGGATTTTTTGATAGAAGGTTTAAATGCTATTGCTGCTACAGTCACCTTAAGAATTTAATCATAACAGCGATGCAGGAACTAGCAACAACAGTAGTAATATTAACCAGTTACCAGAGAATACTGTCCGAACCAAAAGGGAATGTTACTATTAGATTTACCTAGAAAATTCAACACCATGAGAAGTAGCCTCCTATGCAAATGCTCTACAAAATTTTCTTCCAGTACATTGGAAGTATCCATGAAACATTAGAAGTTTTATTTTAAAAGATAAGGTAGATAATCAGATTTTTATAGCTTGAGCTGTATTAAACTGGATTAATTTTATCCAATAAGACCAACATTATAGTAAGAAAAAAAACAATCAGAATATTAGGAAAACAATACACGAGACTGGAATTATCTGCCAAAGAAACCCGTAAAGCATTCTTTTTTGTCAAACTATGGACTGCACAAAACAATTACAAATGTACAATTGACAAAGAATGCATTACCAGGTCGCCTACCCATTCTTACCCATTTGTTTAAAGTAAACGGTCATCAATGCTGTAATCTACCTCCAGAACAACTTTTGGATTTTGTTTGCAATGGTTGTCTCAAAATGAAGAGACAGCTGAATGCATATTTTGACTTCCTCTCAGTATCAAGAAAATAATAAATTCAGAATACTTATTTGCTTTTATTTTTGTTTAGGATGACTCATAACGTCACAACAAAAAGCACTGAAGAATCTACAAATGTGTCAAAAAAATCAACACACACAACAAAATGAAGAGTATGGACACTAGTTGAAAACTACAGTGTTTATGCAATCTAGATATCTATAATAGGAATAGGAGTAGAAAGCAAGCTAAAACCCATGCATGTATTTACAGCATCCCATGAAATTTCAAATATTCTACAGATGAAAAGAAGCTAGATCATATTTTTGTAGGGGGTGAAAGGGGACTTGTGACCACAAGAAGAATGAGTCTCTTACGATGCCTTGTTAAACAGGGCTCATCAATACTTTTATCAAGCTCCTGAAGCGCACTGGAAAAGCAACTGCAGAACTTTCAACAGCTCCCTCCACATTTCCTTTTCCTTCTTTGAACAAAAGTTCAAAAGATAATTCACTCTCAGTACAGTTAAGAGACCTGTCAATGATTTTCTTACTACCTGCGCTTGATCAACCAGCAAAAAAACTGAAAGGCAGAGGATCCTGTTTTTTCTTTCTGATGATACCTCCTTAACTATCAGAATTCTTTTTGCTGTTGAACTACTCTTTGATTGGCTACTTGAAAACAGTTTTCCAAGATACCTTTTTGAACAGGGAAACCAACAGAATTCTTCCATTTTCTAGATTAAAAACCTCCCCTTGGAGATCTCATTGACAGGGCAGATGTTAACAAAATTATGTGTGATCTCTCATATTTTATGTATATACTTTATATGTATATTTACACACATACAACTTCAGCTAACAGGAGTAATCAGTGCTCCTTTCATTATAATGAAACTTCTTTTAAAAATGCAATAGTCTGGTGAAGAAAATTATTGTCTACACAAACTCCTCTGCATTACCAGCCATTTCTAGCAGCGTCTTCATAAATACTGCCTTTACAAAACTGTGTTTTCCAAGAATCTGGAAGCAGATTTGTTACTTCCACAGTAAAACACTATTAAACACCATTCAGGACTGAAACAACACAATTTCATTTTGGGCAGTTTACACATTTGTCTCTGCAGATGGTCACCTGCCATTACTACAGTCTTCCTCTGTTGAATGTCCCCATTTTTCTCCTGACCATTTATGATGCTAATCATAAGCTTGAACTTTATTTGCAATGATTCAAACTGGTTCAGTTACACCTATAAAAGGAAAATTTGGGAATTCACAGGTATAAGCAGGTTCAACAAAGTATGCACAACAAGATCCATTTGTTTCAGCTGGCCTAAAATTCACAGAGAAATGACATGTCTAATTTACATATTTTAACTATTATCCTATAACAAACTACTGAACCAGGTCAAGGTATAGACCCTATCCACTGAAATTCTGTACTTTAGCCTCTAACACTGCTCTGACGCTTCCAAGAAACACAAAGGAGAAAAAAAGACATCAAGAAAAAAAACACACATCCTTTTGCTGATGGGCTTCTGTTCAGGGGTGGAGGGGGAACTCAAGTGATCAGTTTCATTTCTCTGACTCAGATATCCTCTTCTAAATTAAAATACCCCAGTAATGAATTCAAAAAATTAACCGGACAAAAACGCAAGACATTTCTGATATGCAAAACAGAGACAGTTGCTTCTGCCAGTGAGACGAGAGAAGCAAAGCTTAGAAAATAAAAGACCTCATATAATTTGCTTATAGCTTGATCAGGTGGTACAGCAACAAAGAACAAGCTAATGGTAACAATGAATGAAGCAGAGAAACAGCACAGTGACAGTTTTAGCAGGCTAGAGCTAAAGCCTAGGTGCATCTGAAAATCAAAGCACTAATAATTGAGTCGAGTGAGGGTGGGGGGTATTGCTGAAGTCTGGTTGGTAAAATGGTGTTGAACCTTTTGGGAAAATGTAGTGATAATAAAATGTGAGAACAGACTGCAAGGCACAGAAGATGACAAGTAGAGAAGCTGAAGAGAATTTTCACCCAAAAATGCATTCAAGTCAGGCTAGTAGTTACTGTTTGCCTGGATGCAGTACAAAAGTACAGGATGAGAAACAGTCTTCACCTCTGTGAAGATGCTGTTGTCAGAGTGACCATTCTTTTGTTCTCTTTCTTACATATGTAAGGTGGGTTGTTTTTTTTTCAGTAGTGTGACTGATGTGGGTAACAGAGAGAAACTATCTAGTTGAGTGAGTAGCTCAGCACACTGGAAAAACAGAAAGTGGTCTTACATCCAGAGGAATCACTGCTTAGATTCTATTTCTGACTGTTCATCCAAACAAAAATAAAAACCCCAAACTGATTCATCATCACAGCATAGAGGTCCCTTTCATGTATCCAACTCCAATGTGCAGAGTGTATAGACCAAGAATAGCAGTAACATGTAAAGTCAATTAAGACCGAGTTCGATTTCCTGGGACCAAAACTGTTTAATCAAACATGCTTCCAAACACACATGAAGAAAACTCCCTATCTTCAACTGTTAGAAACACATCCTATCCCCACCAATGACTTCACATTCTAAAGCACATAGGATATTTAATCTGTTATGGTTAATTCATATCTGAATAACAGCTATGTCATCTTGAACCTAAACAATTATGTCAACAGCAAAACTGATATTTATGCTACCACTTACATAGTTGGGAAGGAATCGCATAGCTTAGAATACTTTTTGGATTAGAAAATTCAAACTTGCTTGTCCACAAAGCTAGATGGAAATGTTGTACTCCAAATTCTGTTTTAGGATGAAGATGGAATTTCTTTGAAAAACACTCTAGAGGCATGACTAGAGGAGCTACTAACACTCATACAAAGCTGCTGCAGACATGATTCTAACATTTAAAAGTGATAATTTTACAGTGTGATAATATCATATGTATCACATTATGTTAAATAACTTTTGCTAGGGAATACCTACAAAACACACAACATGCTTTGGTTTTACTGAAAAAAGATCAGCTCCTTTATCTGAAAGGACATTTTCTTACATACAGAAGTTTCATCCAAATATCTGTGGTGCCAGCAACTTCTTCATATCTGGCATTTTAAGAAGAAGCTGGTATTATTTCCAAATGCTTTCACAAATCGTAACCGTTAAGTGATTTATGTGATTGATGTCACAATGTCTTCCTCACTGTGCACCGAAAAGCCTCTGAGTCTCCGAGACGAATTTGGTCAGCTTTCTACGTATAGGTCCTTGCTATATGGATAGGTAAGACTTCTTTAAGATGTTTAAGTATCATGCCTACAGGCATTTAATGACTTGGCTAAGATCACCTCAACCAAGTTTTATCCAAAATGTGGAACCTCTCGAGCATTAAAAAAGATTGGGGGTGGGTGGGTTGCGGGGGGGGGGGGGGGGGGGGGGGGCTGGGCAGAATTCCTTCCTTCATACCTTCTAGACAACATCCAAACTACATCATCCTTCAGCAATGTACAGGCACAACAGTCCTTAGCCTGACAGAGAACTTGGTTCACCAAACTGACTTTGTATTCACTCTGAAGAGTGCCAAAAGTGACACCAACTTTCTGAATGTAAAAAGCTACTTCTTCATCCCCAGTAGCACAACCATTCAAAACACCTGCCAGAAAAGTCATAATGATTTTACTGTAAACTCCTTTTAACAACACTCTAAATATAACTAAATGCAAAATCAGATACAACAAAGAATATGGTTTAACAAGATAGGACCCACATGATCCCTTCTGGCCTCAAACGTGCAAATCTACAATGGCCAGCTCTAATAGCAATCAGCTTTCACTGCTCTTCTCCAGAACAGGACCATATTTCCTTCCATCCCTCCCCAACTTGTTATTTGCTGTTTTGTTTTGGTTTTTTTTTAATAGTACTGTGTTTTTCACATTTAGCATTTGATGTAGCTCTATGCAGTTCAAAAAACGTCTTTTTTCCATTTTGAAAATACTGCTCCTCTGTTCATCCCCTGGATGTTTAGAAAAGAGAACACACTGAAACATCAAATCCAGGCACAAAGGGAAAAGACAAAACCTTCTTTTTTAGTAAAAAAAAAAAAAAAAAGCAAGCTGATTCTGTGGTGTATAAACAACAAGGCTCAAATTTTAGTACGGGGGGGAGGAAGTACTAATGCTTGTGACGAAGTTATTCAAAGTCAAAAAATCCAGTCTATGTGCCTTTTTCTATTTGATATATGACATTGATTTCTTTTTGTATGCAATTGTTCTGCAAATATTTTGATGAGTAGCAATTGACTGAAATCTCGGACAAAAGTATCCTCATAGAATATTATAGATTAAGATAAAAATCTATTTTTGCTTTAAGGAAACTGGCTAGTGAATACCTAACAATAAAGTAACGCATGCATTTCATATCCTTTCAGTGCTGCTGTCCATTAATTAGCCACTGATTTGAAAACGTCAATTTTCCTGATAATGGTTTTATGTGCAGTACGATCAACCTCATTAAATTCCTTTTATTTCCCATGAAAAAGTGGATCACAAATCCACATTTATTTAAACAAACCCAACTGAAAGCAGTATGTTGATTTTTTCCTTTATTTTATGCTTAAAGATTTTCAGTTGGTTCTGACATAAATGGCTAGCCTGGCATATTACAGGACAAAGTTTATAAGTTTTCAGTAGAGTAAACAATATACAGCTGTAAGCAAAATTAACTTCCTTAATGACATCAATATTTATATTGTTTTCACATGCCCTACTAAAGAGCTGTACATAAGACAGGGAAAGAATTTGCTATGGCCATTATGACAAACTGAGCTTTATAAAGCTAAACTTAATGTATCTCTTGTAGCTTTATCTACTTTTAGGAAAAGAGAAATGATTTATAACAATATGGCAAAATTTCAATTACTATTTCATCTCTTGAAGTTGGACTGTGGCGACACAAAGAAGAAATAACAGCAACCAACGGCTATTAACTGGACTTAAGAACATTGGAGCTTCTGCACCGACTCCCTTCCCTCCTTCACTGTTCGCTTGTGGAGGGTGAACTCGCAGGAATGCAATTTATATACTCTCCCTCAAAACTGACCAACTGACTTCAATGATGAAAAATTAATCTATAAAAAAAAAAATCTAATAAAACCCATACATGACTACAGGTACACAAGTTAAAAGTTTCTATTGTAAATGTCACATTCCAACACCCAAGAAATCTAACATGCTGCCACATTTACCAGTTTTGCATTATTGTTTAAAGTACACGTATTTAAAACCAAGAAATAATATTTCTTCATATACAGCTTCTGTATTGCATAGTTCTACGGAGTATTTTGCTGCCTATTTAAATACAGTTCAGAACTCCCTGCATAACGATCCAATCTGTTACTAAACACAGTAATTTCTAATGTATATTTTGGCCTAAGAAGATTTTATTAGTACAGTTTCTCTTTTAGTCATGCATTTAATTACCTTACTAGCTTTCAGTCCCTTGGTCCTATTTCCATGTATATCATTAGTCATTTTTTGGATTAATTTACTGAACTAGGAACTTGCAGGGAAAGATCTTAGAAGAATACCAGAGCTACTCTAATACATATTCTAAAAGGAACCACCAGAACATATCAAAGTGTAGTGCTACACAGTATTCCACAATAAGCATCTCCTTGTGGAAAAACATGCTTGCATGTAAGAACTGCTCAAAGCTGTGAAATCACAGGGTAATTCACATCTGCATCACAGCCTCAGACATGCCAGCTGGAAAAAAAAAAAAAAAAATCAGTGAAGTGTATTATTAAATGTTAATGATTCACTTCCGTCACTTTCAAATGTCTTTGGGAAGATCATGGCTGACTGAAATAAATAAAGCAGATTTCTTAAAAAGAAAGTTTTCCTCAGTTCTATACATTTTATTCAACTGTAAGTTAATAAAACCCAAAACTAGGGAGACTTCTAAAATTTGACATACAGATTAAAACACAGTTGAAAAGATGTGGTAATAAAAACATGAGCCTGTTAAATAGTGAGCATCTATCCCATGCAGAGAGCAATCCTACTCGGTGTACTGGACATTGATTAAAAGATTCACTTGAAAACTTGTGGTAAGGAAGGTGAAAAACTTGTGATAAGGAAGGTGAAAAAGATCACTAAGGTATAAATTACCTGCAAACAGAGCACTGCCGCTGGGGCTGGAGAGCAGTAAACATCACTACCACAGAGTAGTTACGAGGCGGAGCCTTCACAAACCTTCGGAATTTGTCTCCATTCATGCGGATGACTGAGCGCCTTGAGCTCCATTCCATCAGCTGTTCCACCTTCTCAGCCAGAAGATTCTGTAATTGAGGACAAGGATGAGGAATGTTTAATCTTAAACTTTAAACACTTCATAGCTATAATTCTGCCTTTGCATCATCACAGCTCCTATGGTCTTAAGCAGCAGGTTGGGGGATCCTCTATATAGCTTATAGCAGAATTCAGTCTTCTATGTAGACAACTGGATTTTAAGTATTTAAAAAAATAACTCAGTGTAGTCTTAAACAAAGAGGATACATAAAATGAAACCAAACAGGTTGCTACTGAAGGCAAAGGAGTAGATGCAAGGCTGACTGTCTACATACAAGATACTAGTACAACAATCATTTAACTTTCATTAAAAACTGGAAACTTTAGAAAATGCAGTATTTATCTTATTTAGTAACAATCACAACAGGATATTGTCAGTCACTCAAATACTAAGATGAAAGAAAAATGTAGCTACAAAGAGATAGAAATAGTTACTACGCTGAGAACTTCTTTATGAATATGTATCACATTGAATTTAAATTAATACAAGTTTTGTATTTTGTTACAGACAGGAATGCACTGTCTTATAAACCAATCTAGCACATACCAAATTTACAACAACTTTAGTTGCTTTTAAGATTGAGAACCCAAAAATATTTTGGCTGAACTATAAGTGTACAAGGAAAAGAAAAATTACTGTGAGTGGCTCTTCTTTTGCAATAAAGTATTCCATCACATGAATGATCTAGAAGCAGGGTAAGACAACCCTCGAGGCAAATACATTCATCTAATGATTCCTATGAAGATCTATTTAGTTATTTGGGTTTTTTTTAAATCAAGTAAGCCGGATGTCACACATGCTCAGCAGAGACTTTTGAGTCTCCCAAGTTACTCAGATTTAGTGAGGTTGCACTGGCCATGCCCTAGGTGGATTGCTAGACCTACAGCACATCAGGATCAATGAAACAATTCATCTTGTTTTAATTCTTTAATTCTCTGCTTTACTTGGAAGCTTGTTGGCAACAAACAACTCCCTTGACTCCTTCAGATTCAGCAATGGCTAACATTACCTTCTAAGAGCTAACACAGCTCTTGTGCAATACTGTGAAGCTCACCATAACGTTCTAAACTATGCATGCATTTTGGTTTGTCTTTTCTCAACACACTAGGTGAAAAGTTAGCAACGAAACTAACCTGTTAAGTGTACTACGCTAGGTAATCAAGCTAGTACTTCAGGAGTATAAAGTCAGTACATACAATTTTACCACTGGCTTCAGTGGATTCTGAAGAAAATTTTTTTCAAATAGCAAGTTATCACTGAATAGATTGCAGATAATCACATACATGGTGAAATATTCTGATCTAGGCCAGATTTCTCTTAGGCAACTGACTGCACCTTGATATCCTAACACTTTTTAGTCCACTTTATTCCAAAAGTCTCCTTTTGCAGAATAAATGGTAGAAGAGACCACGGTCTGACAGCTCTAGAATTCCTAATCAAGCTTGTGGAATATCCTATACTTTACAGCTGTATTTGGCAACATTTTACAGACAGATGAAGGTCTGGTATTTTGTCATTTATAAAACACTTGCAAAATATATGCTGCTGAGTAAGTTATCAACCTTTTCCTCATCTTATTTAATAATGAAATCCAAGAAATAAATCTAGTGTTAAATGAGTTTCCATTTTAGCTGTGCATTGAACTTGAAAGTTGAGTACCTGTGTTCAGGAAATATGGCACAGTTCAACATTCCAACTATCTACGTTAGCACTGGATGAAAAAGGCTCTCACTTTTCAGACACTACACCTAGAAAACTGACCAGTCTGTTAAAAAGGGGGCAGGTGAGGAGGATTGTGTTTTTTTTAACAAATGCTCAAGCTAGCAGACTAGCCTCATGGATTCCATAATTCATTATGTAACTTTTATGTTTTCGTAAGAAAATTGAAATACTGTAAAATAACGTGTAAAAATGAAAAACAGATTGTTGAATAAAGGTGCAAGTATGAGCTCCACCTGCAGTTAAAAACTGTCTCCTGTGTAAAAGAATAGTATTGAAAAAGAAAAATCAAAATAAAACAGTTAGAAAAAAACAGGTATAGTCTTCCCTATTACCCTAATGTGATAACAATAAACACCATAATCTATTAACACCCAGGAGAACATTATTAGAAAAGACAGTGATCTATCCCAAATTATTCTTGCCATGAACATACTGAAACTGAACATGTCCTCCAGTATTTTACCATTTAACATCCAGCTGTATAAACCATACATTAAACTGTCACCAAAGTGAATTCCCATTAGGATTCTACACATTTACAAAAAACTAACTCACCTCTTTCTAACCCCTGGAGAAACTTTTCTGTCAGAGAAAATCTAGAAATAGCAGAGGACTGCTACTCAAACCCACTAGACAAAACACATCTTGTGATGACTGAGACACATTGTCTCTCATGTCCAGAAAATGAGAGACACTATCTCTAGTTTCTGCTCCTTTCCACAGTTTATACAGGTAAAGATGCTACATTAGTTTAAACCTGCTTATTTAAGGAATTCTTCCAAGTATTTCCTGGCTTTATGCTGCTAACGCAAAGGGACTGTTTTAGCTGAAACTAGAAAAGAAAAACAACCAACCAAAATCCATCAAACACACACACAAAAACCAAACAAAAAAAACAAACCAACAATAATAAATAAAAAAAAACAAACATAAATCTGAGAAAAATCTTAATTTATTAAGAAAATTTGCAGATTTGCTGGTGTAAATAACTACATAAGGGTCAACAGATAACAGTGTACTGACAAGCACAGGTAACACTTAAATCAATAGTTGAGAGGCAACCATGAATCATTTATTTATTTTCATTAGCTGATGGCCCAAGAAAAATAAAAGAATATGTATGATCTATGTAGATGCTGTATGATCATGTTGTTTTACCGCATGAATGTTAGTATCTGTAAAACAAATAGAACTAGAACATTACTTGCTGTTCCTACACTGTTTTGTAACAAAATAAAATTTATGGCACAACAGCATTTTATAAAAACTAAATAAACCTTAAAAGTGTAACTGAGAAAATCCAGAACCCAGGAATTTTCTTATAAACAAGGAAAGCAGCTCTTTATTTAGGAGAGTGATTTCTACATAAAGAGATCTCCTATGAAAAATGTTTCTGTTGCTGGAGTAGGAGCAGAGTCATCGGCACTGTGACCTGAATCCTTAGAAGATAAGCAGTTCCCACAGAAATAAGCTGCCTGGGACAGCAATTCTAAATAATTCTGGCTAGCAAAAGATTTTTCCATTTGCAGTTGTCCCCATCACTGAATGAAGAACAAAGAAAGAGAGTAAAGTTCATCTACTACACATCTGAGTTTTCAGTGATGTGATGAAACAACTATGCCGCCTGTCAAAAATGTAGGCAAACTGTGACAAGTTATGAAACAGAAGATGCTTGCAAGCCCAGCTTCTGGCATCCACACCTGAAGCAATTCCCCATTAGGGATTGTTTCCCAGTGATCCCCCATATCCCCTCTCTGCTTCTTAACCCAGTAAAGCTTGGCATATACAACCCTTCCCTTTCATACTCTGACTAGCAGATTAGCTACTCAAAAATGCAACTTTATTTATTCACTATCCCAAGACATGGTGCCTGCAAGACAAAACATAAACAACAATAACAACCATCCTGCATACACACATTTTGCCTTAGCTGACTGTTAATCTTCTTCGGCCAGATATTCTAAATTTCTTTTGGAAAAAAAACAAACAAAAAAACAAACAACAAAATAAAACAAAAAAACACACAAAGGAAAGAAAAAAAACAACCCAAAACATACTCTCTGAGGAAGTAAAACAGAACAAAACTAGTTCAGATTTTCCTAGACACTGCTTGCTCTGTCTGTTCAATGGATACCACTGACATTTTCAAGACAAACCTCGTATTTTTAAAACAAAACATTTAAATACTTGCTGATTCAGAATTGCTCATCTGGGAAATAAACATCATAGCAAAATAGCTGGAGTGTGGCAAACAGAAGTTTCTCCTCAGTTCTCACAACAGTTTTATCATATTGTCTTTATCATATAAATGTATTTCCAATAGTTTTACATTACTGAAAATATATTTTGGATTAAGTTTCTTCTTTAGACCTCCTTTCTAGTGTGAGGTACCCCCTGTCCATGGCAGGGGGTTGGAACTAGATGATCATAAAGTCCTTTCCAACCCATACCATTCTATGATTCTGTGATTAATTTACCTTGCCTGCAGTCAGAACATCACCACACAGATAGCTTATAGCATGAAGGATTATTTAAAAAAGCAATGAACAAAGTCCCAACAATACTATTCAATGTTTCAGTGACCAAATCAGCCTCCTTTCCTTTGAAACACACTGACTCTACCGCTTTGCTTCTCTAAGGTTTCACAAGAAGCTTCAGCTCTTCCTGATGCAAGAGTGTGACTCCTCAGTTCTCCTAGACATGTAAACATGGAAGACCTCAGCTCCAGAAAGGCATGGTCAAGATCTAAGATGAGACATCAGCAGCAGTAAAAGTCCTCAGAAAAACAGGCAGGGACTCAATCTACTGTTAACTACTAGTAACACTGAGTGAGGCATTGGTTATTACCAAGCTATTCATCCTTCCTGATGAAGACAGTCCAATAGCTCAAATTTCACCATTTCTGTAAAGGAAGAAATAAAGCAAGGAGTTTCTAATTAATGATTTGCTACTATATTTTATATATGCCACTGGAGACAAATTAACTACAGGGTTTAGTGGTTTTTTTGTTTGGTTTTCAGTTTTGGTGTTGGTTTTTTGTTGGTTTTTTTTGGGGGGAGGGCGTTTTTTTTGTTTTTGTATTATTTCTTAAACTATGATGTTGAAAATAAACATTAAAAAAAAAAAAAGGTAGCTTGGCTTCCTTTATATGTATCTTACCAAAACCAGCTAATGTAGACTGAATGATCACACTTGATGAAGATTCTGCTTTGTTCATTTAGGTGCATCAAATCCCCAAGAAGCATTGAAAAAAAGAAAAGCAGCCCA